TGCCATCATGAGAACCAGGAGAGGAAAGAAAGAAAGAGTGGGAGGAAGGAAGGAAGGAAGGAAGGAGAGAGCAGGAGGGAGGGGGAAGGAAGGAAAGAGTGAGGGGGAAGGAAGGAGGGATCGAGGGATCGAGAGAAGGAAAGGAAGGGAAGAGGGAAGGAAAGGGAGGAGGAAATGAAGGGCCATTTAATGGACAGCAATGGTTTCCACCTTGTTCACTGTTACATTTCCTGATGAGAAATCATGCCAATATGGCCAGAGATTCTGAAATTCAAGAACCAAGTTCAAGAGCCTCTCATTCCCCATTGGCTTGCCCCATTCCAGCCACAGCCAAGGGAAATCCTTGCAGCCCCAGCGGGTGCCCCTGGCCTTCCCTCCATGGCCACCCCTCAGCACTCCACGTCTTTGCCTCCTGCTGGAGAGCAACAGCAGCGGTTCTTCCTGGTGCCTGGTTCCCAGGCTGGTTTCTTCCGTTAGAACCACCCACCTTGCCAAATCCACCCCAGAACCACACAGAGTGGGCACGATTATCCAGTGAACTTCTAAGAAAACTGAGACAGAGAGAGAGTAGGATGTGCATGGCTACACAGCCAGAGAGTGAGAGGCAGGCCCAGGACAGGGCCTCAGGGCCAGGAGTGAGTCCTCCCCTAACCCGCTTCCAGTGATTATCCTCCATATGAACAGTGTGGTTCCTCCCCTGTAGGAGACTCCACAGATCCACTTCCCCACCAGGTTTTCTTGGTCTTTGTCACTGCCTGTGATTTCCAGCACCATGGCTCAGAAGCCCCTGACAAATGGTGCAGGCAGACATGGCCTTGCAGTCTGTGTTGGGCTCCACCGGTACGCAGTCTCGTATCTGTGCTATTTTTAAAATAGCCCCGCTGACACTTTATGGTGTGTTTGATTTGGGGGCTGAGGAAGAATTCAAGAGCAGGACCAGGTTTTATCACCTCTCCTGACTACTTTCCATCAGAAAGTCATTTGGCCCCGCACTAAAATTACCGGGCCTGTCTTCAGAAAACATTCTCAGCTCTCCCTATCCGTGCCACGCTTCCAGGGCCCTCGCTGGACATATGAGCTCATTTTCAGCAAGATGACGCTTGGGGCTGAGATATGATCACTGTGAAAAATAGAGCTGGAGGAAATGATGCCGAAACCAGCTAAAAGGACAGCTCTGATAAGATGCTCTATCCTAAAATGGCCTTCTTATTAAGATTCCCCACTGCTTCACCCAGCTCTGCCAGAGTCTGTCCAGTGAATCTTGTACAGAAGAGACCTACTTCACTTGACTGAATGTTGAGACCAGAGTTCTTCCAAGGTCCTTTACAAAGATCAAACAGGGCCAGGTGACAGTGACACACGGCTGCAATCTCACCTACTCAGGAGGTGGAGATGGGGAGAATTGAAGTTCACAGGCAGCCCAGGCAAGAAGTTCAAGAGACATCATTCCAGCCAATACAGAGCTAGAGGTGCCAGTGTACACCTTCTTCTCAGCTACATGGGAGGCTCAGATTGAGAGTGTTATGATCCTGGGCCAGCAGAGACAAGAAACTTCTTGAGACCCCCATCTCAGTAGAAAAATGCTGGGCATGACAGTTGCACTTGCAATTCCAGCTTCAGTAGAAAGTGTGAATAAGAAACTAGCGGTTCTAGCCCCCCCTCCAAAAATCATGGAAGCACAGAAAGATGGCATTGTGGCTCAAATGGTTGAGTGCCTGCCTAGAAAGTGCAAAGCCCTGGGTTCAAAATCCACTACTGCCAAGAATAAACACAAAAGGATCCCGTGCCAGCTTCACCACTTTCTATGCATGGAAGCCATACTGAACACAGGGAGACATCTTGGGTAATCTTAGTAACCGAGGATTAGCTATTGTCCCACTTTCCAGATGAGAAAAACAAGGCCCAGAGTAAATGCCTCAAGAGCACATGGTTTTATAACTACTACTGATTTACACCCACTGGTTCCATGGATCAGAAGGACCAGCCCAGCTCTCCTGGGCCATCCCCTTAGTGTCTCACAAGAAATGCAAGCCTGGTGCCCCCCGGACAATTCCGGATCTCCTCCCAAGCCCTCATGATAGTTGGCAGAATCCAATCCTTATGCCTGTAGAACTGAAGTCTCCATGACCTTGCTACCCTCCTCTCCTAGAGACCCCTGCCCATCCCAGCAGGGGCCCCAGTGACACATGTCAGCTTCTAATGCACAGGGATGGGCAGACAGAGGGACTGCCACTCTGCCATGGTGGCCACATTTTATGGGCTGGGCAGGTCACAGCTGCTGCCTCACCTGCCATAGGAGACCCTGGTCCCCAGACTCTGCAAACCCAGCTTCTCCTCACCTTCCAGATGTCAGTCTGTCACCATCTCTGCAGCCTTCCACAAACCAAGTCCTGAAGGCGGGGCCCCTCTGTTGATCTCTCTTCCAGAGCCCGGTTTGTTTTCTTCAGACCTCTTTTCTCTGAGCTCTAAATCCTGCCATTCCTCACTCATTGGACTGTCACCCGGCCACGATGTCAGGTCCAACTGGGCTAGTCTGTCATATTTTTTATGTCCCCCGTGATCATAGAGGGGCATCCTAAAAATGCTTGTGATTCTGCTCTAAGCTAAGAACTGATGCAGAAGGAACAGGACAGGTCCCACACACTTGGCCTACCCTGCAAAGGAAACAGCCCTAGATAGAAACTTCCAAGCTACCGGGACAGGGGCCTCTAGGCCCTGTCCCCTGCAGGGCGGCCCCTCCCCTCAGAGCTGATAGGTCCAATGACCACACTTGTTACATCTGTGTGTCCCCCATCATTGTGGCTCAAGGGACAGTGAGGAGGGCCTTTCCAGTATGGATGCAGGGCTTGGATAGGCAGGGTGTTTGTCCAGTGATGTGCTTCCAGCTGCCACTTGAATTGCCCTCCTCCTCTGTTGTCTCTTCCTCCACCATACCCATGTGGCAACTTCCTCTGGCTGCCGAGGAAATGGCCCTCAGTTTGGTGGCTTAGAATACCACAAATCGATTCTCTTTGTTCTTGCCAGAGGTAGTCCGTGTTTCCTTTGGAGGATCTGGGAGGACCTGTTCCCGGCTCCTCCTGGCTCCAGACATTCCCTGTCTTGTGGCTGCATTGCTCCCATACCCATCTCTGTGTCCACATAGTGGCCTGCTTCCTTGGGTCTGTGTGTTCAGATCCCCATCCCTTTTTATTTAGGAAGACCCGAGGCACTGGATTTAAGCCTGCCCTAATTCATGGTAATTTCAGCTGGAGATCCTCAGAGAATTGCATAGGCAAAGCCTCTTTCCAAATGAGGCCCCGCTCTGTATTTATGAGTGGATATGCATGGGTGGTGGCACATTGTTCAACCCAGTATTCCAGACTTCAACATGTCCACCTTGGTCCGCATGCTAGCACTCTCTCTGGGCCACGGCCCTTGAAGATGATTGCTGCTCCCTGGACCAAAGCCACTTCCTCCTGATTTCCCACAGCCCAGCCATCTACTCCATCCTGGGCAGGGCTTAGAAGGTGGGCTTAAACACTTGCTGCTGTTTTCATTCTTAACACATCTTTTCTTTCCCCCTTTCTCACATTTTATTGAGAAACTATACTGGGAGCAGCCCTGGGCACAGAACTGGTATATGCCGACTTGATCCATGCACACTTGATATGGTATCCTCTGCCTTTTGTTTTCATTTTGTCTGCTGTCAAATTCATCTTCCCAAAGGGCCTCCTAACCATGTCCTGCACCATCACTGTCTACAGTGATGTTTTGTGAGCACAGCAGCAGGGTCCCATTTACTTAAATCTCATCAAAATTCATAGGCTTGAAAAGTCACAACAAATAAAGTAAAAAATTTAAGTACATAGGCCAAATGTATTGCATGAAATTATTACCAATAATCTCAGTCTGTGTTCAGGTGGAATTAGTATTTGATAAACTCATGCGCAGCTGCTCTTTATTTCCAAGAAAGCTGTCATTAGTCTCAATAGTTCTGACATTTATTATAAATGAGTGTGTGTGTGGGTGCAAGTTTCTGAAATCTATGGTTTTAATACAGAGCCCAGCAGTTACTGCCATACTGACAGTAAATCAATGGATGGGCTGGGCTGGCCATGCATTCTTCCTTCCATTCCTTTTCTTCCATGTCCCACATGTGTTTATATACTAGGTGCAGAAATACAGCTGTGCAGAGAGCAAATCTCATTTTCAAAATTGCCGGTCGGATGTGGGAAGTCCTTTGCTAAAATAGTGGCATAGGGTAGAACTTTCCAGAAAATTTCCCTCCTGTCTTTTGCAGCGTGTTGAACACTGTGTTTCCCTAAGACTGGGGGGGGGGGTTCAATAAACTCTCTCCATAAAGTGACTACTTTAAACCTTCAGAATCATATCTGGCTCAGTTGTATGTTCTTTTGTGTTGGCTCTGTGTGTGTGTGTGTGTGTGTGTGTGTGTGTGTGTGTGTGTGTATGTTGTGTTGCTTTTATAGCTCTTTAAAAATGTAAGTGCAATTGTTAGATCATAGACAACACAAAACAAGGCCCAGAACAGGACTTGGCCCTAGTGCTATCATATGTCAATCTCAGACCTGCACACTTGCTGACCTCTTGTGTCTAGATCTCATGTCACCTGGTGGGGGGAGGCCAGAAGGACAGCAGGGCAGAAATGTGCCTCTACCCATGCCATAGACCTATCACCCACTCCTCTCGCTCCATTATCACAAGATAAGCAATAACTTCAGCATACAGGTTAAGGATTTCTTTTTGTCATTACAACAGCCTGGAATTGAGAGGCCAAATATTAAGAATATTCTAAGAAGAAAATTCAGTCTACTTGCATTTCCTGGAAGGAAAAGTGAGTGAGACAGAGGCTTCCTATCCTTTCTACCTCTGCCTCTGACTGAGACCTCATGCTAGTGGAGAGAGCAGGCTGAAATCACCTTGGTCCAGCAACACTGTCTGAGATGGCTTCTTGGATGACCCCAGTGATCACACCACTCACATCTTTCTTTCTTCTCTTATAGAGACATCAAGCCAGACAACATCTTACTGGACGAGCATGGTGAGTCCGGAGCCATTTCCCAGGAACTCTTAGTGGACAGGGTGGGGCACTGGGAAATTGGGACAGGGAGATCCTGGAGCGTTGGGTTTCTGGGTTAGGTAAACATCTGAGTTCATTTCTGAGTTGAATTCTCTTGAAGGTGTTTGGAAGCCATTGCTATTCATGTGTCTATTTGAAGAGGACAGGTCATAGCAGGGGATGGGCCTAGGATCTCTGGTTTTCCACCCTCAGCCCTTCCACCCATAAGCCTGTGACTCAGAAGTCATTTACCGCTCTGAGCCTCCATGCTGGCTTCTGTAAGATGGAGAAGGGGGTGCCCCACTTGCAAGGTTGTGGATTCATAAAATGGACTGTATGTGCTGGCTAACCCAAGCTCAATGATAATTCACTAAGCCCTGTCACTCAGCTGTTATCTCTGTCAGCTCTAAAGCTTCCATGTGGATTGCCTGGACATCTTAAATTGACATAGGAAGCCAGAAGTGGGGCCCAAGATTCTGCCTTGTTATAGCTTTCAGGTGAGGCTGACACAGCTCATCCATGGACCACACTTCTCACAGCCTGGCACCATGCCAGTGCTCAGCCAATTCTTTTGGAAATTTCAATGGCTCAGCCACTTTGTCTTATGGAAATTATCTACTGGCCTTTGGCTATAGGAACTGAGAAGCCAGTCCTGTCCTGTTTCTGCTAGCTGGGGCCTTTGAGTTCTGTGTTATGATATATTGTGATGTATTATGATGTTCAGTAAAGTTTAAGAACCATATGCCAAGGGCCAGGCCCTGATGATGCATACTTTAATCCAGGCTACTTTGGGGGGTAAAGGTAGGGGGAAGGGCTTGAGTAGAAGCCAGCCCAGGCAGAGTTTGCAAAATACTATCTTCATAAAAAAAGATTTGTTATGGCTCAGTGAACACACACACACACACACACACACACACACACACAAATACCGCTCAGGTGACAGGCATAGTCCAAGAATCTCAGATTGGATAAATAATTACACTAATTCAAAGCACAGCTGTGCAGCTGACATCTCTGAAGTCTGAACATGGACTTCGCAGTCTGCCACCGGGCTCTTCCTGAAGGCCCCTTGGACAGAGGTTGCAGTGAGTCTCTCCTGAGGCATGACTGGGGCACTCGGCAATGAGTCTGTCACCTCTTACCCTCAGCTTCCCTACTCTTTCCCAAGCCCTGCACCCTGCGGGGACACGTGGGCAGGGGAGGCTAGAGGTCGTGGGGTGAAGCCCTTAGGACTTGAATCCTCACTCTAGAGCCCTGAGCTAGACATTCCCTCTCTTGGCTGTTTACACCAGGAAAGGAGTAGCAAGATGGTATTCACAGTCATCCGCTTTCATGGAGCTTGCACACCTTCTTTCCCAGAAAGATATTCTGCTTGCTCTCACAAAACCTCACCCAAATGCATCTCCTCTGGAGAACCTAAACCCAAGGTGTAGCTGCAAGAGAGTCAGAAACGTTGCCCTCTGGGACTGTGACACAGAGAGTCACCAAGGAAGGGGAGAGAATACCAGTTTTAGGTGTTGAATGAAGCCCCTGGTTGAGTCACTGTGGAGTAGATCCCAACTGGAAAGGGTAAAGCTTCCCCATGATAGGAGTAAAAGCGAGTCTACAGCCAGGGTGGCCAGGAAGAAGGGAGTTGGATCCGTCAGGCCGCCATGACTCTTAAGTGATCAACACAGAAATCTAGTGCTGTGGCATCTGGAGGCAAGGAGGTGGAAAAAGAGCAGGGTGGGCAGAGGATATGAGCTTTTGTGAGCCGGGCAGTAGGTGGTCCGCACAGGGCATCAGCTCAGGTCGGATGCAAATGGCGCAGTCAGAGTGTCCAGAGGGAATTCGTCCAAAGGAAATGCCCCTTTCCAAGCTCAGCAGTGAGAACCATTACCACCAGGAATGCTGTGATTCTACAGCTCAGGATTTTCCCCTTGCTCGCTGCCCAGAGGCAGTCTGGCAGACGGATTGCTTTTTAAAGCCTCAAGTTGCCCCCTTATGACCACAGCACAGGAAGGAGCCAAATCCAATAGAAAAGAGAAATCCCAGGGGCGCCTCACTGTTTATCCGGCAGAGGCATGTTCTGAAAACCATCAATCTTCCTGCTGCCGAGCCAGATGAAACTTGGATAAGCTGAGTGTGGAACTTGACTGGCTTTTTCTTTTTTTCCCTTCTGCTGCTGTCCTGCGATAAGTCCACTGTGATCTCCATGAAGATAAGTAGAAGGAAGATTGGTTTTGTGCTTGCTTGGGACAAGTGCTCCTGTGCGGGCTGTGGGCTGGCTTTTTCCTCGGCATAGAGAAGAGTATTTTTAGCAGGGGGCCTGCTGGATGATCAACTCCCGGCTTCCAGTTGCTTGGTTTTGATGGTGCCTTTCTGCCCTCTAGCTCAGGTCGCTGGATATCCTGAAAGCCAAATAGAGATGGAGTCTCCACACATGGCTAAACTCCTCTGAGGCACGGAAGGCAGGGGTCACCACCTGCGCTAAGCCCTGGCCTAGCTTTCCTGGTGGCCCCAGCTCTGCACCTCTCTCTCCCTTGGATTCCCGGAGACGCATGGCAGCCACCAAAGTGGATTTCAGAGGCAAACCTAGAAATAGATTTTTGCAACTCAACCCGGCGGTTGCTCCGGGGTGACTGCCCCAACCTTTCAGCTCGGGCCCGAAAGGTGCCAGTGAGGCAGCAGGTCCGGGGTGCAGCAGGCCCTTGTTCATCTGGTGAAGCCCCCAGCGTGTCCCATCACAGCGCAGAGGGAGGAGGAAGAGGCAGGGTGAGGAAGGATGAGGAAGGAAGAGGCAGGGTAGGGCAGAACCAGATGCCTGGCAATCATGGCTGCAGAAGGGATGTGTGGCGTGTTAGGCAGGCTCAGTGCGCTTGCTCCTGGCCGTGCCCTCCTGATGTTGTGCCCTGGAGACTCCCCACTCCTGGAAGCTTCCATCGTTAGCTTTGTCACCTTGATGTAAGTTTTGATGTATATGTGCCAGTCCCAGGGCTAGAACTCAGGGCCTGGGTGCTGACGCTGAGCTTTCTTTGCTCAAGGCTAGCACTCTACCACTTGAATCACAGTGCCACTTCCAGCTTTTTGGTGGTTAATTGAATATAGGAATTTCACAGACTTTTCTGCCTGGGGTGTCTTGGAGCCGTAATCTTTATTTCTCAACATCCAGATTAGCTAGGTTCATAGGCATGAGCCTTTGGTGCACAGCTAAAATTTGAACACATGATTTTTGGAGGGACACAAGCATTGAAATCCTAACAGTGACTTCACCAGAACCCCAACTTGTCTTGGTACCTGATCTTGTCCAGAACTTCAATAAATAAATACTGGTTGTTTAAGCCACTCTCCCAACGGTACTGGATCAGAACAGCACAAATGGACTGAGTCACAACCAGACAAACAACACTGGTTTTCAGAGACAGGCCCTAAAGAAAGATGCATTTCTTCTGCACTGAGTAGAGGGAGCGGAGGATGATAGGTTGTAGACACCCCGGGAGGCTGAGGCAAGGGAAGGCATCTCAAAGCAGAGTCTGTGCTAGTTATCATGAGACGAAAGCTCAGAGGCTGTGGAGACTGTCCCTTGTATTGGCTGAGGAAGGTCTTCCTGGAAGACACAAAGTCTGGAGCTTATAAGGTTGTGATTAGAACAGGCTGTTCCTGTGAGGATGTCCTCACACAAGAGGCCTTCGGCACGAGCTTGTTACTTTGGCAGAGTAGCTGCTATGGTCCTTACTAGCAAGCAGATGACCCGTGAGGAGCCACTGTGCACAGCCTCTCAGCCCATTGCATTAGCGTTTGATCGAAGTGGCACCATTTGATTCTGACACCTTTACCACTCCCTTTAACTCCAGCCTCCTTGGTGGCCTCTCAGTTCCCCGTGCCCACAGTGCTCTTCCTCCAGAGATCCAAGACCTTGATCTTCTCTCCTTTAGGTCTTTGCTCAAATGGCTATGTTCTGGTCACTCTGTTTAATTCTGCAACCACCTTGCAAGGTACTTATTAATACTAACTCCCCTTGACAGAGGAGGAATCTGAGGCTTGGTAACCTGCCTGGTCCCACCGTTCATACGTTGCTGAATGAACTGGGACACCCACCAGCAGTGGCTGGTGACACAGCCCAGCTTACGCAGCCCTAGCCAATAAAGGGTAATTTTATGCCCATGGTCTTCAGCTCCTCATAGTGCTACCTGGCATTGGCCAAAGTCAGAAAACTCTTCATTTCCTGAAGCTTTCAGGAAATCATTTCTCTCAACCTCTATCATAGATGGCATTCTGCTCACCTACCATTGGTCACAACCTGGTCATATGACCACTGGCAGCTGCAAGGGAAACTGGGAAATGTAGTCTTTAGGTGAGTTTAAACCCAGCTAAACAGTCTATATGAAGGCCACCTATTTCAGACATCCCATAGTTACCGGGTGCTAGTGGGAAATCTGCCTCAGTGAATAGAGCTGATCAGGCCTGGGGTACCGTGGGAGAGTACGCTCACCCTCACACACCCCACAGTTCAACTAGGAGGGTGGATTTGTTGGTTGGTCTTAGAAATGGGGGAACTTGGATGATGCACAGGGTCAGCCCTGGCTAGAGAAAATAGTTATGAGCCATGCCGCAGCAGGGGAGTAGTGTGAAGGGTTCACACTTGCATATCCCACACCCCAGCAAACAGCTGGATGGTGGCTCCTGCCTGGTTTACAGACACCTGACAGGCCTTGTGACCATCATGAAATTAATACCTTGCTTCTGCTTCTTGCCTGTGGGCCCCAGGCAGGGTGCTGGCCAGAAGCCTGCTCACGCATTGGCGGCAGGCAGCTGAGCCTGAGGTGCGTGGCTTGCACACAAGGCTGCTGGTGCTTTTCCTGTCCACCATGGCTGATGGCATTGGGTACGCCTCTCCTGCAAGCCTCTCTGGGCCTCTCAGCACCTGCTCCAGACGACGTCCTCCAAGTCAAAGTCAATTTTGTATATGTTCCCATCTGATAAAGTCCTGTATCCCAAATACAACCAGCCATCCTCTCTATCTTCTTCATATTTGTTGATAATGGAGAGAGAACCAAGGCCTGATACTTGCTTAGCAGCTATTCCACTTCACAAACTATGCCCCGAGTCCTTTTAGTTATTTTTTAATAGGGACCTCATGTATATATATAAGCTACCCTGGGACCAGGATCTGCCTACTTACATTTCCCATGTAGCTAAGATGACAAGTGTGTGCCACCATGTCCCAATACTGACTTGAGATGGGGTCTGGCATTTGTGCCTGGTCTGGCCTTGAACTACAACCTTCACAGTCTCTGGGACTGCAGATGTCAGCCATGGGTCCAAGTTCTCACCAGCCATTTTTACAAGGCTTGCAGACACCAGTAGAGAGAAGCTTAACTCCGGTTAGACCTATTGTTCAAGGCTCTGGTTCTGGTTTCTCTTAGCTGCCAATTCCTCAGAAAGGGTGTACTGGCCATTCCAGATTCCCTCCCTCCCCATCCTTTCCTTCTCTTGACTTCTGTACCCCCTGCACCCCTGTTTCCTTCCTTCTTCCCTTTCCCTCTGCCTTTCTTCTCATGACTCTTGAACCTCACTGGGATATCCCTAGCCTCTCCATGCCACTTTACTGCCACGGTAACCCGGGGCAGAAAGTGGTCCCAACCTGTCCTCACCTACTAAGTTCACCAAGGTCTAGCTGAGGTAGGTCCAGGCTGACGGCCACTGAGCACAGCAGACAACACACAGGCTCCCGCCCCTCCCCATCATGGCTCCTCATGGGTGTCCTGTGTGAGCAGACTGACCAGACTGAGCTTGCCAGCTGCCTGGAGTCTGATTCTGAATCGGGGTCTCTAAGCTCTTAATCCATACAGCTTTTATTCTGACCCTCAATGCAAACATCCTTACAAAGCATATACATGCAGTACCAACTGAAATTCATGTTCTAGAATATGTACACGAAACAGACACCTTTTAAGAGTCAAATAAAATATGAACAGATCGTAGCTATTTCCTGCTCTCTGGTGGGCAGATCACAGCCTTGGGCACACAGGAAGGAGCCCATTGCCCACCGCTCTTGCTAACTGCAGTCTCTGCTTCTGTCCTCACAGGCCATGTTCACATTACAGACTTCAATATCGCCACGGTCGTGAAGGGAGTAGAAAAGGCTTCCTCCATGGCCGGCACCAAGCCTTACATGGGTAAGTTTTCCAGGCCCGTCTTCTGCTGTGGTGAGGCCCACCCATGTCAACACCAGGCCTGCTCTGTCCTGTTCCTCAGAAGTCCCTCGCGCGTTCTCCATCTCATGCCAGGCCCACCTACCCCAGCACGTGCCCTGCGCACTCACATGCTCAGCCATTCGAAGCTGTCACTTCGCTCAAAGGATCTTCCTCCGCAGGTTTTTAGAGAATTCCTGCTCAGTCAGAACACCTAGATGTTGACGCTTTGGTGTCAGCACTCTGGGGCTGTGTTCTTAGGTACCCAGCTATCAGTGCATAATCTAAATTGGTTTCTCTTTGGGACACTTGCCACATACTCAGTCCTCCTGGTTTAGTTTCCTTTGGTGCTGATGCCTGTTATCCAAGTGTTGGGCCTCATGCTTGCTAAGCAGGCCACACCTCCAGACATTTTTGTTCTCAGTTCTTTTACCAGGTAGTGTTTCATGGTATTTTATTCCTGGGCCAGTCTGAATCATGATTCTCCTCCTCATGCCTCTCACGTGACTGGACTTGGTAGACATGTATCATTGTACCCATCTTTTTTGTTGCGATAGTATCCCAACTTTTTTCTAGCATCAGCCTTGAACCTTGATCCTCTCAATCGATACCTTCCAAGTAGCTGAGATTACACCACATCTGAATTAGATTTTCTTTTGTGGTCATACTGCCTTAACTACATTTGATAGACTTTGTCTTGATCCTGCTTAGTTAGAAATCATTTTGCATCTTTCTATTAAATATGGCAGTCTTAAGCTTTTCATATTAGAATTTGAAGAAGTTTCACATTTCCATTTTTAAATTATAAATGTATATACAATTTTGTCAAATAGCTTTTCTGCATTTCTTGAGATATTCAAATGGAGTATTCTCTATAATCTGTGGAAATATATTGGATGATGGTTAAATGAAGACCTGTACTGGCATTCCCAGAATAGCCCCATTTGTTGTGATGAAATTTCCCTTCTCTATGATTCTGGAACCAGTGTATGGGTGTCTTGTTCATATACTTACACCTAGATTCATGATGAATAGTTGTCTGCATTTTTACTCCATAAACTACGGTATGTGGTTTGGACATTAGACTGTTTCTAGCAAGCTAGGTTGTATGCCAGGCTGGTATGATTCCTGCATGCATTTGATACAGTTCTTCAGTAAACATAGTTGGTCCTGTTGAGGGAAGAGCTTTATGCAGAAAAGACGAGACTATGAGCTCAGTTTCTAGAAAGAAGTTAAGTTTTGATTAAGACAATAGTTGAGTGACGTCCAAAAAGAAACATACTCTTTACCTGACTTATGTAACTGTAACCCCCCTGTATACAACCTTTATAAGAACAATAAAAGAATTAAGAATGATTCAATGGTTTATTTCTTCCAAAGAATTCATCTATTTCATCTAACTTTTCACTCCTAATTGGTAGCTTGTGAGCCTCTCTCATTTTTAAGACATCTTGGTTAAAAGCTTATCGTATTTATTGATTCTTCTAAAGAACCAGTTTTTACCCTTATTGCTTTTCTTTATTGTTTCTATATTGTATTGATTTTTCTCTCATCTTTATTACTTTCTTCTGCTTCCTAAGGGTTTACATTGTTGTTCCTATTCTCTTTTTTTAATTGTAAGTTAGATAATTGATTTCAGACTTGTCTGCTTTTGTAATATAAACATTGAATGCTCTAAAACTTAAGTCCAGTGTTAGCTGTATCTGACATAGCTAAAATATATCCCATAGACTGGGAACTAGTTGCTTACACCTGCAATCCTAGCTACTCAGGAGACTGATGATCATGGTTCAAAGCCATCCCTGGCAGGAAAGTCTGTGAAATTCTGTCTACCAAAAAAAGCCAGTGGAGCTGTGGCTTAAGTGGTAGAGTTACTAGCCTTAAGCAGAATAGCTCAAGGTCAGCACCCAGGCCTGAGTTCAAGCCCCTAAGACTGACACACACACACCTATGGAAGCATAATACATCAAATTTCTGGGATATATGTATAATATATATCAAAATTATAGGACATATGGGATATAAATCATGATTTTGATATATTATGCTTTCATTTTATTCAGATACAAATACTTAAAACAAATTGAAAACTCTCCCTCTATGTCTATTCATGTATCCACTTAATTCTGTGATGATCACAGAAAATATCTTCTATGATTTCTTCATTTTAATTGATGAAGTTCACTGCATGAGCCATAAGTAATCAATCTTGGTGAATATGCCATGTCTGCTTGAAAGAATGTATACTTTCCTGTATGGTCAGGTGCTTTTTAAAAGCCATTTAGGCCAGGCGCTGGTGGCTCATGTCTATAATTCTAGCTACTCAGGAGGCTGAGATCTGAGGATTGTGGTTCAAAGCCAGTCCGGGCAGGAAAGTCCGTGAGACTTTTATCTCCAATAAACCACTCATAAAACCAGAAGTGGTGCGTGGCTCAAGTGGTAGAGTGCTAGCCTTGAGCTGAAGAGCTGAGGGAGAGTGCCCAGGCCCAGAGTTCAAGCCCTTTGACCAACAAATAAACAAACAAATAAATAAAAGTCATTTAGATTAAAATACTTGACAACTGGTGCTCAGATTATAGATAAATATGTGTAGTTATTCTTTCTACTTCTTATGTCAATTATTAAGTTAGGAGAATTGAAATTCCCATCTAAGTCAGATGTAATGGTTCATACTTACAATTCTAGCCATTTGGGGGCTGAGAGCTAGAAGATCATGCTCTGAGGCCAACCTGGTAGTAAAATTCATGAGACCCTCTTCTCAACCAATAGCAAGGTATAGTGGTATGCACCTGTTATCCTAGATATATGGGATACTGAGGTCTGGAAGATCACAGTTCTGGGTCAGCCTGGGCAGAAAAATCTGTGAGACTCTCAACAGAAAGAAAGCTAGGAATAGTGACACATGCCTATCATCCCAGGTACAGTTGGAAGAGAAAAATAGTATCCTGACTAGGAGTGCACCCAGATAGAAAGCCAAACCCTATTTCAAAAGTAACCACGACAAAAAGGGCTGCAGATACGGATCGACAGTAGAGTCCCTAACTAGTAAGTTCAAATCACTGAGTTTACACCCAGTACAGCCGAAAAAGGAGGAAAACATTCCCGTCTGTGTTTGTGCATTTGTTATTTTTTTAACTTTGGATTCGAGCATGTATTTTGATGCTCTGTTGTAAGGCATGTGCTTATTATGGGTTGTTGCGTCTACTTAGTAAGTTGGCTGGTTTATTGTTATCCCACTTATATCTTGTTCTGAAGTTCCTTCATCTGACACACTCATTCCTTGGTATCTACAGGTGCCTCCTGTAGTTCCCCACCACCGGGAATACCAAAATCCATGGGTTACCAAATTCCTTGTCGAAAATGGAGCACTACTTACATATGACCTTCACACTTCCTCTTAACCTCTAAATCATCCTTGTACAATGGAAAGGTTAATGAACTGGGCACCTGGTGGTTCACGTCTGTAATCCTAGCTACTCAGGAGACAGATATGAGGATCACCGTTCAAAGCCAGCCTGGGAAGGAAAGTCTGTGACACTCTTTATCTCCAATAAACCACTAGAATAGCCAAAGTGGCACTGTGGCTCAAGTGATAGAGTAATCGCCTTGAGCTAAAGAGCTGAGGGACAGTGCCCAGGCCCAGCGTTCAAGCCCCACGACTGACAAAAAAAAAAAAGGTTAATGAACTACATGTATCTGGGAAATAGTAGTAAGAAAAGCACCTGTAGATGTTTAATATGTGTGCAAAATTATCTTCTGATATTTTCCGCCTGTTAGTTGAATCATGAATGCAGTATTGCTCAGTATAAAAGATGCCATGTGCTAGGTGCTGTGGTTCATACCTGTAATCCTAGCTACTCAGGAGGCTGGGATGTGAGGATCATGGGTCAAAGCCAGTCTGGGCAGGAAAGTCCCCAAGACTCTAATCTCCAGTTAACTGCCAGAAAATGCAAAGTGGCACCATGGCTCAAAGTGATAGGGCGGTGATAGGGCGCTAGCCAAGAGCAAAAGAGTCTAAGCATCCAGGCCCTGAGGTCAAGACTTAAAAAAAAAAAGTCGTGCACTTAAAGGGAAATGGAAATATGTTTATAAAGATCTGTGTGCTGAGGGTAAAACGCAAAAGGAAGCTGGTTTGACCTAACAAAAAGGAGGGGGAGCTTAAGAAACGGGAGGGGCCAGACCATGCAGGACCTATGTGTCACACCACAGCCTTTGCTTTCTATAGCGAGCTCAGTGGGAGATTTAAACAGTACTGATTGTCTTGGAGAAATAGAGCCTCCAGGATCCTTTAGACTGTAGCCCTGCAGGTGGAACTCCTCTAATCCAAAAACCAGAAGCCCCCAAGCCCCCAAAATTGAAGTGCTGATAGATACTACAGATGGAAGATTCTACACCGGACTGGTTTGACAGATTGCAGTCACAACAAGGGCCACTAGAAGTATTGTGTAACACTACCTTTTGCTTGTGTGTCTGTGGTGCACGTGAATTACAAGTGAATTTTGTGTTGAGACTTGGATCCTATCCCCAAGATGTCTCATTATTTATATGCAAATATTTCAAAGTGAAAACATCCAAAATCCAAAACAGTTCTGGCCCAGAGCCGTTAGGATTGGAGAGCCTCCACTTATATAGAAGTGAACTTCTCAGTCAGCATGAAATGCAATTTTATTTAGCTTCTCACATTAACTGTGTGAAAATATGCCTATTCTTTCCCTATGCTTCAAGTTAGAATATTACTAGCCAAGAAAATTTATTTCTCAGTCTACTAGTTGAATCTGACACATTTAACACAAGGCAGTTTTTGGTACTGGATCATGGTTTATGTCTACACCTTAACAAAGCCTTCCTGCTACTCATTCGCCAATTAAACTCCTCCTCCCCTACCTCTTCCCCGGCATATGATGGAGTCCTGTTGGTCAACAACTGAGACATTTCTTACACTGTAATAAAACCAGTTTTCTGTCCTCTTTCTTCTATTAGAATCCCCAGAAAGGGAGAAATTATTAGACCCAGGCTGTAGTTTAATTTTATCTCAAATTAATATGTAAATATGTAACACCTGTGTTTATCAGGCAAGCTAGGAGCCAAAAAAAAGTAAATTACCCGCAAGGAATCCATGGAGATGGAAAACCTGCTACTTATGTCTTCTTTCCACAGCTTCCTGGTTCACTTTAAGGCGGGGAATCGTGGCGGGCTCTGGGATCATTCAGGGTTTGTGTATAACTTGTACATGGCTGGGTTTTCACGCAGGCATTCATTTCATTACTCATTTAATAATGAATTGACATACACCAGCTCACCTCAGACGAGCACTTGCTTTGTGCTTTCAGAACAAAATTAGTCACATTTTATCTCATCATGACGAAGGGAGAGGCATCCTGTGGCTGACTCCAGAAATGACGTTCTACCCACGGACAAACAGCCAGCCACGGTACCCGCCTCATTGCCAGTTCAGTGCATTTGGCTGCTCCTTGTGGGCCAGCTTTCTGCAGATCCTGAGGACATGGGACCGGCTTCGTCATGCTCTGCCTCAGAGAGCACAGTCCAGTGAGGAAGACAGGCATAAACTCCTCTTATCAAAGCACAGCAGAGCATTGCTTCAAGGAAAGATGGGCGTGGGTTAGGAGAGAATCTAGAATATGTTTTCATACAGTGGGTTCCAAGCGGGGAGTGCGAAGGCAAAAAAGAAAAAGAATAAACTTGATAAATATGGATGAATATTCCTCAAGGAAGAGTGAAAGTTACCCTGGGTCTTTGAAGTATGTGTGGAAGTGCAGCAAATGCCACCTAATGCATAGGCGTGCACGCGCACACGCGCACACACACAGTGAAGGCTGGGGCATTCCTTCATTGCTTTTCTGGAAGGCCAATTGTGTGATGCCCTGATGCCTTTTAGAAGCAAAACTCACTTCCCACTTAAAACCTGCACAGGAATCATTGTTCTGTTGCTCCGTAGCATGGCTAGTGGGAGGAAAAGCTGAACTTCCTCCACCAGTGGGCCAAAGGTTCCATGGTGCCAAGGTGTTTCTACCTCTCAGGCAGACATCACCAAGTTATACCAGCTCTCCGGCATGGGGGAGGGGGTACTTAATGCACCGCTGTGGCTGTTGTGTATTGACACTCCACGCAAGGGGAAGATGCATCATAGTACCGACCCCAGGCAACATCGCCCGCTCATGGTTTCTAGGATAGAAGATGGGTTTGATGTCAAAAATTTTAGAGTCCCTCACCCCCGATCCACAGGTCTAGTGTGTGACTTGGGCCCCTTGTAGTAGTGTCTGCATCTGGAAAACTAATTTCCATGAACTAAGTGGTTTAGAGCAGCAGAGATACATTCCCTCACAGTTCTGAAAGGTGGGCGTCCAGTAGCAAGGTGCAGGCAGGACGGCTGTATTCTTGTAAGCATGGTCCCTCATTTGCATGAGGAGCTGTGCTGTGATTGGTGCAAACCCACTTCTTCATTTGCATGAAAGGCTGCTGTGGGGGGTGCAGGAATCCTTGCCATTTCTCTTTCTATATAGATAGAAGGCTAATCTTCAAATGATTGTACAAGAAGGTTACTATGTAACATGTCCCTGCTGTGCTGCCCAGAAAGGCTGCATTCATCCTCCTGTGTCCCCTACCTAAGGAGTAGTGGCCATGAGCTGTTTCCAACAATGTTGTTCTGTCTTGTTTTCACAGCTCCAGAGGTCTTCCAGGTCTATGTGGATGGAGGTCCTGGCTACTCATACCCTGTCGACTGGTGGTCCCTGGGCATCACAGCCTATGAGCTACTGCGGGGCTGGGTAAGATATGTGGGGACTGGAGAGCCCAGGGAATGGGGCTTCTGCAGTGCCAAGCCGCCGGGGGCCGGGGGGGGGGCATGTAACAGCAGGGAACTGGGAAGGAGTAATGGCTGAAGCTCAGGGTACCACCACAAAGGGCCCCCAGAAAGCTGCAGACCAGATGCTCCCTTGCCTAATGGGGAAAGGGATTCGCAGAGCAGAGGAGGCTCACAGTGAAGTGCTCCTATGGTCAGCACCAGGTCAAATGCAAAGCGCCTTGGCCTACTGGTTTTTCTCTCGACCCTGTTTGAACACATAGTGCATCAGACTCAGTTCTCCAGCTCAATTTTGGGTTGTTTCAGTGATGATTGCACATCTTTATCTTGTTTTGGTTTTCTTTCATAGTTTCCGAAAAAAAATGGCTGAGCTGGATACTGGTGGCTCATGCCTGTAATCCTAGCTACTAAAGAGACTGAGATCTGAGTATCATAGTTCCAAAACAGCCTGGGCAGGAAACTCCATGACACTCTTATCTCCAATAAACTACACAAAAAAGCCAAAAGTGGCACTGTGGCTTCAGTGGTAGAGTGCCTGCCTTGAGCAAAAGCACAGAGACAGCACCCAGGCCCAGAGTTCAAGCCCCAGGACCAGAAAAAAAAAATGGACTGAGACTTATTTGTATTTAATTTACATGGAATATGTGAAAGTAACTAATGGAACAATTTGGAAACTGATTTTAAAAAGACAGATTATTTTGGTAGATAGTATGATTGAAAGTCATGTTGCGCCAGGCAGCAGTTGTTCACGCCTGTAATGCTGGCTACTCAAGGAGCTGAGATCTTAGGATCAAGGTTGGAAGCTTGCTCAAGCAGAAAAGTCCATGAGGCACTTAACTCCAATTAACCAGCAAAAGGCCAACAGTAGAGCTGTGGCTCAAGTGGTAGAGTATCAGCCATGAACAAAAAAACCACGCAAGAGCACAAGACCTTGAGTTCACACCTAGTACCAGTGCACGCACACACACACACACACACACACACACACCACACAAATTAGAAAACAAAACTGTTGAGGGGTGTTTCTTCACACAAATATGGCTGGAAGGTGATGTCCCCTCTTCCCGTTCCGTGCTTTCTCGCTTGCATGGTGGGGAGAGGAACACACTGCAAGTCCGTTCTGTGGAGTTAAATTAGAGGTGCCTGTGCTCTGGACTGGTCTGAGAGCTCCAGGGCCCAGCACAGAGCCCAGTGGGCATCCGGTACCTGCTTCCTGCCGTGTTGGCCTTGTGGTCCTTGGCATGTGTGAGTTTCATGGAAGTAGAAGGTGCTCTCCTTGGGGGCAGGCCGGGCCCTAATCCTTGTGGGTTCTCTGTTGCATCCTGATAATAGGATAAAAGAATGGTGCGTAAAAATGAATGAATGAATGAATGAATGAATGAACAGCTGCTAAGCTCCGGACGTGCAAGTACACACATCTCTAGTTTAGACAACCGTTCCCTGCTCTTCATTTCACTTATTTCCTTGGAACACCACACCCAGCTCACATGGGAATTTTAGAATGCAAAGAAAATATGAACTTGTTCACTTTCTTGGGCACTGAATGGGAGCATGTTGCTGTCAGCTTTTTGGTTCAGCTGCTCTCCACCGTCTGAGGAGGAGCACGAGGGTCTGAGACCCTGTGTGAGCCTACACAGGTGCCCACCATAGACAGAGGCACCTTCTGAATTGTTCGGGGATTTGGTAGTGCTTCTCAGACCCAGGGCCCTGCAGAAATAATCAGACAGTTGCAGAGAGAAAAGTGTTCTCCGTCTTTGGAATTTTAAACCGCCAGAAGAATTGTTCCTCACATTCTTTCTGCTCTGTGTTAGGATTTTGAGTAAAGGGATTTGGGAGGAAGCAGACAATGCTGTGAGGCAGAGCCCTTTCCGCTCCACTCTCCTGTCTCTCAGGAAGCAGGCGTGTTTTGTAGATGGAGTTTCCTGGAATAGAGACACACCTGCACTTCATGCTGAATACCCAATGTCCTGCTGTAAAAATTACTTTTACCAATGGTACACTCAATTATCCTACCTTCTACATGCCGCCTGGCCTTGGAGTCAACATGTCCCGAAGCCAATGAGCAAGCATCAGTAGGGATCAGGAGGGATCAGTGGGTCATTGATGGTTAATAGTTGGCTTTATTCTTGTGAGGGGACTTGGGTCTCCACCATCCAGACAGGTGAGGGCCGGGCCTGGAGCCTGGAGCCTGAAGGTTATCTCAGTCATGGTGTTTGGAGTGTAATTCCAAATGTATTGAATGCACTGGATTCCAAGGTGTGTTACTTTTCACAGTTATCACTTTTTTTTGCCAGTACTGGGGCTTGAACTCACAGCCCAGGCATTGCTCCTTAGCTTTTCACTAAAGGCTGGCTCTCTACCACTTGAGCCATAGCTTCACATCTGGCTTTCTTGGTAGTTTCTTGAAAATGGGAGTCTCATAGACTCAAACTATGATCCTCAATTCTGAGCCTCCTGAAGAGTTAGGATTGGAGGAGGTGTGAGCCACTGGCATCTGACTCAGTCTTCTCTCTGTTTAGTGCTACCACTCTAGTTCTCTGCAGAAGTGGAGAGAATTAGAGGCAGGAGAAGAGTCAGTCACTCATTTGGAGGTCTGAGAGAAAAACAGAATGACCAAGAAAGAAACAGACACTTAAATGCCATTAACAAGAAAAGTCTTTGCATTGATCTTGGCTGGTTCCCCAACTCAGTGCTTAGAAATGCAGTTCTCATGCTATTGCAAAAAAGGAATAAGGAGTGGCTAGGGATGTGGCTCAGTGGTAGAGAGCTTGCCTGTAGCATGCCTGAAACCCTGGGTTCGATTCCCCAGCACCACATACACAGAAAAAGCCGGAAGTGGCTCTGTGGCTCAAGTGGTAGAGTGCTAGCCTTAAGCAAGAGAAGCTCAGGGACAGTGTTCAGGCCCTGAGTTCAAGCCAAACACCCCTTCTGGATACAGGACTTCTGTCTACTACTGAGTCTCGGGGCCCTGACTTCTATAATGAGGGTGGAGAGGTGAGTCTGTACATCCCCAGCCTCCCCACCTCCCGTGGCTGGGTGGTCAAACCTGCCTTTGGTCAGGGGCTGAAGTTCAGGGTCAAAGTGTGGGCAGGATCGGTTCCTCCTGAGCGCAGGGGGGAAGCTGTGTTCAGGCCCCCCTGCTCGCAGCGGCCATCTTCTTCCTGTCCAGCTGCGGCCTCCGCTTGCTGTTGGGCCCAGTGGGCCTGTTGACGTCACGCGGCCCCGAGGTGCTGCACGCTTGGTGGTGCTCACGTGGGGCTGCCTCTTCCTTGTCCTTTGGTGGTGTTTTCTCTGCCAAGAGCCCTGTGATGAACGCCGGGCGGCACCTCTGGGCGTCATCAGGCCTGCGTCTGGCAGATGCCCGCTGCCTCTGGGGACAAAAACACCTTCAGAAATGGATGCGGGATGTGCCAGTGTGGAGCAAATTAGCCTGTCTAGAAAGCCCGCTGGGTTTGGCTTTGCCCTGCTCCTGATGGGGTAACATGGAGATAAGGGAGACACTGGCAATAGGCCCTGTTTGGTGGGCATGTCAGAGGGCTGTGCAAGATGTCTTATGAGCAGGCATCCTCTGCGGGCCCCTCAGGTGAAACAGAAGTGCTTCTCTGCTAGGGAACGAGCCCAGCCAGGACTCGGGAGCCTGCATCCCCTTCAATGGCGCCGTCACACCTGCGGGGCTCCCGGGCACCGTGAGGCAGAGCTGCTGAGCATGTCGCAGGAATCTGGGCGTCATCGGGCTCAGCTTGCTGCCGCCCCGACTTGGGCTTGGGAAGTGGGTGCCCCCCTCCCCAGGGCCTTTGGCCCCACCAGACCCAAGACTGTCTTGGTGCACAAAGCCAGGTGACCACAATCCAGAAGGCTGCTGATCTGGGGTGTGGCTTAGGACACAAATCTGCTGGAAGGTGGAGGAAGAGAGGAGGCTTCCTGCTGTACCAGGTCCAGCACCAAGCAAGGTTTCAGACGCAAGGCCCTCTTGCAGAGCTGGTGGCCGTGACAGGTGGAGGCCAAGCTGCTCCTCCTCCTCCGCTCCACCATGGGCCAGCGCTGGCCACTGAAGCCAGGCCGGCTCACAGACCTGATCGGCCAGGACAAAGGGAGACGGTGGCCAAGGTCTCAAAGTGTCCCTGGGCACCCAGTGGCTGGCCAGCTCCCAGGTGTCCATGCTGCCTCTGCCATGTGTAAGCCAGATGCCTCACAGCCACCCAACCCCTTCTGACCTGCAGCCCCGCCCTGACACGCCCAGCTCCCACACCAGCCCCGGGCCCAAGCCACCTGCCCCCCCTCACAAGACAGGATTCCGTGCTGTGCACCAAAGGGAGGTGGTGCCGTCTGCTGGCTGCAGTCTTATGGGGCTGGGAACTGGGGTTTCAACGCAAGTCCTTGCACTTGCTAGGCAAGCACTCTACTCCTTGAGCCACGCCTCCAGTCCTTTTTGCTCAGACTATAGTGACTCTGGTCAGAACTTGCTTTATGCCCAGGCAGACCCGGACCACGATCCTATGTCCTGTGTAGCTGAGAAGAAAGGCATGTGTCACTGTGCCCAGCTATTGGTTGAGATGGGGTTTCTCCAACTTTGTGTCTGGGATAGCCTCAAACTGCAATCCTCCCAATCTCTGCCTCCTTAGTAGTTAGGATTACAGACGTGAGCCACCGGCTCATTATATGATCAGAAACCATGAAGGTGATGACTTCCTGGTGACTCTCTCACTCTTGTTCTGTCTCTCTGTCTCTGTCTCTCCATCTCTCTCTGTCTCTGTCTCTCTCTCACCGCCTTGGGCGGTGGCCCTTTGTTACAGCGGCCCTATGAAATCCACTCAGCCACGCCCATCGATGAAATCCTGAACATGTTCAAAGTGGAGTGCGTCCACTACTCCTCCACCTGGTGCAAGGGCATGGTGGCCCTGCTGAAGAAGGTAAGGGGCTGCCCCGCCCACCAGGGCGCATGCCGGGACACACACAGGCACCCCGCCACCAGGGCGCATGCCGGGACACACACAGGCACACCGCCACCAGGGCGCATGCCGGGACACACACAGGCACACCGCCACCAGGGCGCATGCTGGGACACACACAGGCACACCGCCACCAGGGCGCATGCCGGGACACAGGCACACAGCCACCAGGGCGCATGCCGGGACACACACAGGCACACCGCCACCAGGGCGCATGCCGGGCAGCACAGGCACACAGCCACCAGGGGGCATGCTGGGACACACACAGGCACACCGCTACCAGGGCGCATGCCGGGCAGCACAGGTCGGGAACAGGTCGGCATGGCCACCAGACTGGCCAGCCAGCTGGCGTCCAGTGCCAGTGATGGCGCTACCAGGGGGCCACATGCAAATCACGAAGCCAGGCGCAAGAGAGTCGGGGGCAGCAGGCTTCAGCTCCTTTCACTCCACTACAAGCTCCACAGATAGAAATAGTCGACGCCCCAGCTCCTAGCCCAGGGAGCTGGAAGGAATCGGACACGTCCTGTGTCTGGTGGAATCAACACTGGTTCCTGCCCAGTAGCAGCATCCCGTTCCCGGGCGACCACTCGAGATGCACAGTCTCCAGCCCCACCCGGGATCTGCTGAGTCATGCATGGGGTGGGTCCAGCAGCCTGTGTGGGCGTGGTCACCGGGCTGCCCGCAGCCTGGCACTGCAGGACAGCGAGGGCTCCCGGAGGCCTGCTTCGAGTTAGGGAGCAGCATGGTTTGAGCTCCAGCTGCCTGGGCCCTGGGTGGCCCTCTGAGAAGGAGGCCAGTGATTCTCTCCACACCAGACAGGGGGAAAGCAAAGGCATTCCGCCATGCCTCCTTGCTGTGGAAGGGCAGAGGCAGGACTAGAACCCACGCCCTGCTAACGGCAGGTTCCAACAACACCAGAATGATGTGGGGAACGGCTAGGCTCTCCACCACCTGGCTGTAACAAGTCAGTGCTCTGACTGATTGCTACAAGCATCTGGAGGCTGCTGCTGGTGCCCCTCCCGCTGATTCCCCACAAGTCACAATGTGTGTCCATTGTGCTCAGTGTGCTTTGAGGACAGCTGTCTTACGCAGTGCTCCCGGACGGCACTGAAGGGGGTCTCTCGGAGCCTACACCTGTCACATGGAGGCTCCTCCATGTGAGGAGGTCACCATAATCGGCAGACACAACTCCTGCCAGGTTGCACCCTGCGGTACACCCTGCGGGGCAGGCAGAGCTAACAGCTAAGGGTCACGGCCCATGTCGTGCCAGGTCCTCGCCAGTCCCTTGATCAGGAGCTGGAAGTGGGGGACAGGTGCCCTCACACCTCCTGAACACAGAGCAGCGCTCAGCAGCGACCCATCGCCTGCCTGGGTTCAGATACAGGGGTGAGGCCTCAGCTCACTGTTAGTGCCACTCATGGGGCGCCCACAAGGCCCAGCGCTTTGTAAAGAGGATACAAAGGGTTGCTGGCTGGCTGTTCCCATCACACAGATCTTATGGCCCCAACTCTGAAGAGCAGCTTACAAAGGTTCTCTTGGCTACAAATGAGGCCAGACTGCCTCCTGGCTTTCTAGGGGGAACTTCTATTGCACTTCTGATCCTCTGCTGATCAAGTTGGAAGTCTTAAGGCAAAGCCGCCAGTTCCTTCTAATGAATTGGACATCAGGCCGCCTGCAAGAGAAAGGCACACACAGGCTGAAAAATCTAGTAGAGATTGGAAAGACGGAGGTTTGAGACCAGCCTGGACAAAACAATTGGAGAGAACCTATCTCAACCCGTAGCTGGACATGGTGGGGAGCAGGTGGGGAGCAGCTACGTGGGTGAGGTGAATAGAGGACCCTCACCCAGGCTGGCCTAGGCAAAGAGTGAGACCCTATTAGAAAAATAACTAAAGCCAAAAGGGCTAGGAGTGTGGCTCAAATGGTAGAGCACTTGCCTAGTAAGCAGGAGGCCCTAAGTTCAAACCTCAGTATCACCAAAAAAGTTTTTAAACAAATTAAAAAGCTCAGCCCTCCCTCTCGGCAAGGTTCTACAGCCAGGTGCAGATGGCGGAGCGGGCCACACGGGACGGGGTGCTGATGGCGGGGACGGGGTGCAGATGGCGGAGCGGCCCGCACGGGACAGGGGTGCTGATGGCAGAGTGGCCCACACGGGACGGGGTGCTGATGGCGGAGTGGCCCACACAGGATGGGGGTGCTGATGGCAGAGCGGCCCGCACGGGACGGGGTGCTGATGGCGGAGTGGCCCACACGGGACGGGGTGCTGATGGCGGGGACGGGGTGCAGATGGCGGAGTGGCCCGCACAGGACGGGGGTGCTGATGGCAGAGTGCCTGCACGGGACGGGGGTGCAGATGGCGGAACGGCCCGCACGGGACGGGGTGCTGATGGTGGGGACGGGGTGCTGATGGCGGAGCGGCCCGCACAGGACGGGGGTGCTGATGGTGGGGACGGGGTGCAGATGACAAGCGGCCCGCACGGGACGGGGTGCTGATGGCGAGCGGCCCGCACCGGACGGGGTGCTGATGGCGGAGCGGCCCGCACGGGACAGGCGTGGTGTGGACGCCTTCACTGTCCCCAGCGAGGCCCCTGCCTTGCTCCCCCTGGCTGACCTCAGTGATGCTCACGGAGCTCCTTTTGCCCCCCGCCGCAGCTCCTGACCAAGGACCCCGAGAGTCGCCTGTCCAGCCTCAGCGACATCCAGAGCTCGCCCTACTTGGCCGACATGAACTGGGATGCTGTGTTCGAGAAGACACTGGTGCCGGGTTTCGTGCCCCATGTGAGCGCTGCGGTCTCGGCACTCAGCGTGGCCCGTGACTGCCCCGTGACCGTCCGCCGGCCTCGGTCACGGGAGCAGCCACGGGCTCACTGCGATTCCAGGTGCACTTGGTCTTGAATCCTCAGGTCTGATTTTGCAGGGTTCCAGGAGGTGCTGAGGCTCCTACCCTGTCAGCCCAGGTGCGCGGGGCAGGATGGGAGGGGGGAGGGGGAGGGGGAGTCTCACTGGGGACAATCAAAGTGTCCTCGCTGTGTACTGGATTTGCATTTTAGAGGACGCTGGCCGCAGGAGGCTCCTCCAGGGTGCTCAGGAGACAGGTTGGCAGGTGTTGGGGCAGTGTAGTCCCTCCTGTAGTCCCTCCTCCCTCTGCACAAGGGCATCTTTTCCTGAAGGGTGGCACATGGGCCTCTCTGTGACCCGGAGGTGTACCCCCGCAAGCTGGCCCCAACACAGGGCACATTTGTGAGTCCAGCTTCTCCCGTGGCCTGACCTCTGCCCTATAGGCACAGCCTGGTGGGCCCCATCTTCTCCTGGCAGCCAGGGGGCTTGACCGACCTACATCCGGTACCACAGAAAGCCTCCTGGACCCTCCCCCTCCCCTGGCCCCAAATGCATGGCAGCTTGTCAACCCTCGGCCCGGTATTGTTCCTGGACTGAGCGAACATGGCTCTGTGTGAGGGCTGCGGCTGTGTGGCTCCATCTGTGTGCGGCTGTGTGCGGCTGTGTGGCTCCATCTGTGTGTGGCTGTGTGGCTCTGTGTGTGGCTGTGTGGCTCCATCTGTGTGCGGCTCCATCTGTGTGTGGCTGTGTGCGGCTGTGTGGCTCTGTGTGTGGCTGTGTGGCTCCATCTGTGTGCGGCTGTGTGGCTCTGTGTGTGGCTGTGTGGCTATGACAGACAGATGCACTCCAGGGACAAGAGAGCTGGCAGGTATGGTGGCTTCAGGGCCATGTCAGCCCCTCTCCGCCATACTCCACTGGCGGGCCAGTGCCAGGTCCAAGCATAGGTGTCACCGTCACCACTGCCCCGGCACACAGCACACAGGCACCGTGCTGTGCCAGGAGGTGAACGGAGGTGGTGCCGGGAGTTTGGGGCTGGGACGGCAGCAGGGTCTGTGTGCCGGCAGCAAGCATTCAGGGCAGGATAAACATGGGAGGGTCTGACCAGTATCGGGGCTGCTCTGAGTCCCTGACTTCTTGAGATGACACTGACACCCCATTATTGTAATGATCAAAAACGCCAAGTGACCCAAGGGACAGAACTGCCTCATTGACAGCACCAGGACTGGGTCCTGGCTGCTGTGTGGGCCCAAGACCCAGACTGGCTTCCACATCTCTGTGGTCAGTGCTCCTGCCACCCCCCCCCCAGGAGGAGGGACAAGCCATGAGGCTCTCAAAGAGCCTGCACATGCCCGAGGAAGTACCCCACACTGACTGAATCCATGAAGACACCGCAGCCCACGCCGGCGCCCAGGGTCCCAGGGCTTCCGGGGCTGCCTTTCTTCAGATGCACATTCTAGAAATATATTCACAGCCTCTGATCTACAACTGACCAAGCCCAGATGCTCCACGCAGCCTCCCAGACGAACACACATTCTAGCTCAACTTCCTGGGGCTGTGTCTGAGATTCCCTGGGGCTGTGTGCCACGCGCCCTGGAGAATCTAAGGGCCAAGCTGAGGCACGGTGGACGGCCCTGCATGGTAGACCGGTGCCTGCCCCTGCAGCCCTGAGCTGCCAGTCCACAGATGTGGGCTTCACATAGAGAATGGCTCCCAGGGACCTGGGGTCTGAGGCCCAGCAGGCCGGGTGGGTAGAACCCCAGCTCTGTAGCAAGGCCGGTGCTGGAGATTCACTAGCTCCAACCCACAGGCAGCCAGGACAGAGAGCTGGGTGGACACCGACCAGAATGCTATTTTACAATTAAATTACTAAAAGTGGTTTTCATAGAAGAAAGTCACGAAAGGGCATTATGATCAAATAATTCGATTGTGTGGGAATGAGAAAGGTAAGGGATAATGAGGGGACGGGGCTGTGGCTGTCAATCAGTGACATATGCAGGAGAATGTGGTGCTTGTGTCCTCTCAGGAAAAGATAGTATCAATCAGTCCCACAGGGTAGTTGATCTTATTGCCTTCGACAAAAGACTGAGTGTAGGGAAAGTCAATGACTGGCCGAAGGTAGACAAATGACCTTTTCTTTCCCTCATGCCTTCAGAAAGGGAGATTGAACTGTGACCCCACGTTTGAACTGGAAGAGATGATTCTAGAATCCAAGCCACTTCACAAGAAGAAGAAGAGGCTGGCCAAGCACAGATCCAAAGACAGTACAAAGGAGAGTTGTCCGCTGGTGAGTAGCTCGTGGGAGCTGTGTCCAGGAGGAGAGGAACGAAAGCGCTGAGTGAGGCTCCCGGAGACAGCAGGGCGCTCTGTATCTTGGCTGGGCTGTGTGCCCTGGGGTGCCACACTCCAGGGCCCCTCAGCTCCCTTCTACGTGATTGTAATTTGCATGCACACCCTCTCACACACCTGACATCATCTGCGCATTATTGGCATCACTCTACACAATACAAATTATGCATGCATACCTGTTGCTTAGGGAACAATGACCGGAATCCGTGATAGATGCCTCAGTCCCAGGCCCAACCACAGATACGCACAGTGGGTGAGAGAAACAATTCCAGCGGGCACTGTGGAGTGGTATGGCTCTGCGGAGCTTCCTGGATTTTCATTCCTGAATATTCTTGATCCGCAGTGGGTGGGGTCAGGGAACATGGAACCCACAGACGGGAAGAGCTGGCAGAAAATGGAGCGCCACCATCATACGCACACGGCCTTTCAGAGCACACACCTGGGCAGGGAGGGGCGCGGGAGGCTCCCCAGCAGTAGGCCGCAGGAAGGTTGAGCTGACGTGTTTTATGTGTGGCGGTACCTAACTCTGTGGTCACACAGTGGAAAAGGCAGATGAGCTCCTTAGAATTATTTTCCTGACACAAACTCTTCATGATATAATTACCCTCCACCAAGTTTTCACACGCTAATTTTTTTTTTTATTTTTGGGTTGAGGTTTTATCATATAAATGGTAGGGAGACATAAACATTCTGAGCATAGTTTGTACTCAAAGTCCTAGCAAATGCTTACTGGCTTACAGTGGGGAGTCATTTAAAATACTGTAAATTGCCATCTCAAAGGATTCAAGATTTGAATTAACTTGTACAACATACCTGACTCTTCATGTAATATATACCTAGAGACTCTGTGACGCCCTGCCCTCTTTACTAAATTTTAATAAACAAAAGCATTCTTGCCAGTTTTTAAGATGGAATATTTAAGAGAAAGCCTATTTATTTCATGGCTCAGGATTTTAAGATTCAGTGAATGTATCCTTTAGAAAAACAAAAACTGTCACAAATGAGCAAGTCATTATTCAAAAGATTAAATGCAGTCATGGGGATTGACTCCCTTTATAGGGTTTCATTTGGGCTAGAGCAAATGAATAAATCTTAATCTCAGTGATTTTTTAAAATGTAAAATTAGTGATTTTTATTTAATACCCTTAAATATAGCAAATTGGTTTCCTAATAGTAATAAAGTACTAGAAATGAAAACAAAAAAGAAGGAAAAAAGACATAGAAACACACAGAGAACTTGACAGAACAGCTCAATGACAGATAACAAAGAAATGATCTCTTACTAGGCTCAGTCTCCATTTTCACATTAGTTGGCAGCCTCAGCCTCCAGGTGGCAATTCCTCAGAGGGTGGGGACAACAACAACAAAAAACAAGGAAGGTTGAGCTGAGGGCCACCAGTGCTGGACCCGTCATCCTGGACCGTCTTTCCTGGAGAGGTCACACGGAAGACCAGGACTGCTCTGGGGCTCGCGCAGGCCCCGGTGCCACGCCTGCTTTCCCGGGCCTCTGCCTTAGTGCCCTGGGCTAACAGAAAAGTATCGCAGGCTGGGTGGCTTTAATACACATGTGTATTTCTCTCACAACTCACAAGTCTGACTTCCAGTTATTGACAGAGCTGTGATGCCCCCAAAGGCAATAGGACTCCAGTGTGTCTGCACTGCCGGAGCCTTATGGATCCGGCTTCAGCTCCGCGGCTCCATCGCTCCTCCACCCTCCCATGCCTCTCACTAGGACTCCATCTTCCTTTGGCCTTCATGCCAAGACACTAGCCATTAGCTCTAGGGCCCTCGTTAACCCATCGTGGCCCCTTCGTGATTCCACCTGCAAAGACCCTCCTTTGGATGAGCACACATTTATTCACCCTCTGAGCACCAGCACTAAACCCCTTACTAGGATGTGTTAGTTGCATGAAAGAGGTTTCATTAAGATGTCTCCATACATATGCATAATACTTTGGTCAAATTAACTCCTCTCCTACTTTCTTACCCATTGTTCAAAGTACTGAAATACTTTGGTACTGATTAGAACTCCCTCCCACCCCCATCCAGGGACTTAAATTTATGTTGGAGGAGACAATTCAACCCCACACCAGATTTTTAAAGTAGATGGAAAAAAATTAAATAGATTAAAAATATTTTTTAATTTCCAGCTGCATTCGTATGAAGGTGAATATTACCTTTGATGTCAAAAGTTCATTGTATTTTTTTCTTAAGTTAAAACATCTTCCTAAGTTCTTAAAGCCCCTGGAGCCCAAGCCCCCAAACCCTTGAGTCCTAGCCTGTGTAGTGCAGAAAAGCCTGGCCCTGCACCCTGGCCTGTGGATTCGGGGAACACACTTTCTCCCAGCACTAAGCACCCTCTCTGCACAGCCTTCTGGGCCTGTCTGGGGTGTATCAGGTGCCAGAGGTCATCTGCGGCCCTGCCGGTCCCTCGCTGTTTCTCAGGGGACAGATGGTGCAGGATCATCTTGTTTTCCCATGCCTGTAAGCAGGCGGTGAGCACCTGACTGTTTAGGAAACCAAGCTCAAGAAGGCCCCGGGCCCATCCTCCATCCATGACAGCATGGCTGTCATGTTGGATTCAATGACTTCAGAACTAGACACATTTGTCTCAGCTGCAGGTGCCAGTCCCCAGCCCTGGTCCCTGGTTCCCATTTAGATCTACAGGCCGCCTGCCCTGCTCCTTGGCCGTGCTCAGTCATTTAGACCCCTCTCTGTGCCTCTTGACAGAATGGACACCTGCAGCAGTGTTTGGAGACGGTGCGGAAGGAGTTCATCATCTTCAACAGAGAGAAGTAAGTTCTTCACCTCAGGAAGAGGCTGTCCAGCACCACCAAGTTCCCCGCCCGGAAGCAGGGCCAGCTCCTCCTTCCCCAGCCGCTGGGAGGCTGGGAGGAAGGAGGTCAGGTGCCACTGGATTTGATCCAGCCTCTCCCTGTGGTCTCACTTCACCCCTCTGGCCTCCCTGCAAATGACCTTGGAGCAGAGAAGCCGGCTCCAGGGAATGAGGACCGGAGCCCTGGGCTGGGCTGGGCTCTGCCTGGCCACAAGACCCTGAGGCCAGGTCCTTGGCCTTGCTGGACCTCCTGGTCACCACACAAAGTAGACGCCGATCCTGTGCCCAGTGTGGCAGGATTCTCGGGTGAAAATGTGACTGGTTTTGACCCAGGAAGGGGAGGAGGTACACAGGCACCCATGTAGCCTGAGCCAGTAGTAAGCAGGACTACCCAGAATCTCTACCAAGGTCTTCTCCAGGCTTAGCCTCTAATCAGCAAAGACAGTGGAGGTCTTTGGCTTGGAGGCTTTGCAGACCTCTGCAGCCTTGGTCCCAGCTGATGCTCTCAAGAAGTTCACAGAGCTGTGGCTGATGTGTCCGGTTTGATGTGTCCCTGTCTGATCTGCTCTGGACTACGCCTTGGGATGCAGGAGCATCAATCGGTGGGCTGTGTATCGATGGCCCCTTGATTCTACCAAAGTCTGTGTCATTGGTAAACTACCTCAACATCCCTTTTAGCTCTCCAGTAGCCCCATGGGTAACCAAAGGAGAGAATATGTCCCCTGTGTTTTGCAGGTTGCCCTGTGCAACAGGGAAAGCGTTCCACACCCCATTGGAAATAGTGAACTTGAAAACTCCAGGTTTCCAAAGTTAAAGCCAGCGCCTTGGGTTCCCTCCAATCTTTGGGATTCCGTGGTGCAGCCCACACCTTGACTAGGTAAAGCAAAGCAGGTGAGGCCAAGTGCACATGCCAGGCTTCGGGAGGCCACTGTCCCACTCTGTTCTGTCCACAGATGTTTGACTTCCTCCTCCTCAGTCAGCATAACTGAGAAAAACAGGATTCAGAGATGGCAGCCATGGCTGGAGGCTGTGCCACCCAAGCGAGGTGAGGGTGGGCAGTGCCGAGGGTATGAGCAGGGCGGGCGCCTGTCATCCCAGCTACTCAGGAGGCTGAGATCTGAGGATCACCGTTCAAAACCCCCAGGCAGGAAGGTCTATAAGACTCTTATCGATAATAAACCACTAGAAAATCAGAAGTGGCGCTGTGGCTGAAGCGGTAGAGTGCTTGCCTTGAGCTGAAGCGCGCAGGGAGCGCCCAGGCCGAGTTCAAGCCCCACGACCGACCGAAAAAAAAAAAAAACCAAAAACAAAAAGGAGATGAGCAGGGCCAGCCAGGTTTCCTGGGACCCCAGCAGCACAAAGCAGGGCGAAGACCTCCCCAAGGCACAGGGAAACGCTGGGGGACTGGCTTCGTGGCAAAAGCAGCAGGAGCAGCAGAGCTGAAGGTCAGCTGAAAGGCTGCTCCGAGCTCTGCGCCTCAGTAATTCTGAAGAACCTGAAATCAAGAAATTGCATGGAAATCAGGGCCATGGCACTCGGGCTCAATCAGAGGAAATTGATGCCTGGTGGAGAGAGAGATAGATCCTGACATATTCATCCTGGCCAATAAAGGACTCGGAACACAGCCGAAGCGACAGGACCACGGACGGCTCACTGTCCTTTTCTGAGGGCATCAAGAAGCTGTTCTCTGCTGGGTGCTGGGTTGGTGCTTGATATTGATTCCATTTGCTGTGTAGTTAACTCTCTCCTGCCTGGATCCGTAAGCTCGTGCTGACATCCGGATGGAGCGGGCGCCTCGCCTGGGGCCCTGCCAGGGGCTTTGGAGGTTGCAGGTCTCACATCCGTATTCTCAGTCTCTGTGTCTGCCCCGGTGCTTGGCCCAAGGCCCTGGCCGCACCCGCCCCTCACCGCTAACCAGGTCTGTGCTGTGCTTGTTTGCAGGATCAGGAGGCAGCAGGGGCCGGGCAGCCAACTCTTGGACCCCGAAGGCCGAGTGGGGAGCCAGGCCCCGAGCAAGCTCCAGGACGGGCGCAACAACAACCTCTTCACCCACAGCTGCCCCCGAGGCTGCAGCCACTAAGGCCCGCCCGCAGCCCCGGCCATGGCTCCGTCCGCGCCCAGCCCACCCAGAGCCCCTCTGTGCCACACACCCAGCTCACCCCTGAAAAGCCGCCAGATGCCGAGCGAGCCGTGGACTCCCGCTGGGAAGCCTGCGTTCTGGTCCCTGCTGCTGACAGGCTGTGTGAACTTGGACCAGTCACACGCTGTCTCTGTGCCTCCATCAAGCTGTCTGCCCACCTATTCCAGCGTGGTGAGAACCCACTTGGACAGCACACACGCAAACCCTGCGAATTTAGAAATCAGTTATACTTGCAAAAGGGGACTTAACATTGAAGCGCATTGCCATCACCCAAATCGCAGCCGGGATTGAGCCCAGCCCAGCCGCTGCATCCACATGTCAACACTCGTAAGTCCAGAGTTCACCCAGAGGTCTCCTATCTGTAAACTTCCTGAACGGTGCAGTGTGCAGATGAGCCTGGTTCCAGGGACTCTGGCTCCCAGGGGACCTCTGCATCTCCCGCCCTCCCCTCCCCAGTGCTGGGATGGCAGCCGCGGTCCTGGGCAGGTGGGCAGGGCACTGGACACTGGCTTCTCCCAGATGTTGTCCCAGCCCTGGATGGAACGTCCGGTCCCTGTCGGGCTTCCTGGTTTTCCTGTCTGAGAAAGGTGTCACACAGGTGGTCGTCCATTTTGGACAAAGGGCATCTAAAGGTACTGATGGCGGCTTCCTGTTCATACATTAGGGTGGGTTCCTTAGAAAGTCTGTTCTAGAAGGGAAGTCAGTTCACTCAAGAAGCAAACTGCCCTATGGCCTGGTCAGGAAGAAGCTTGCCCTTGAACTGGGGACACTGAAGCTTAGCAACTACAGCTCAGGCTTTGCACTCAGGTTTGAGGGCAGAATCCAGCTGAGCTGAGCAGCTCGAAGACCTCAGGCCCCTGTGTGCGATTGCTCATGTCTGTTTCCTCAGTTTGAAAGAGGAAGACGACCTCTAACCTCTGGGGCTGTCACAGGACAGAGTGCCCGGCCACTGGGCATCCTCACCACCACCACCATCAGACTCCTCTTCCTGCTTGTCGTTATGTGCAGACACTCACCCCTCCCCGCCTCGCCAACGGGCACATCTGTCTGCTGCTCATGTGTAGGCTTCTCTGGGGTCTGGCCGTCCCTGGGGAGTTCAAGTATTTTTTTTTACTTCTCTATTTCCATGTGTCACTGTGGACTTGGTAAGTCAAACCTGGGGGCCATTGGTGTCATCTCAGATTTTTGAAGAGACATTTTAGCACATGATAAGGTTTTATACTACAAAAAAAAGTCACTTTTCTGCCTTTGAACCAAGGCTATTTCTAGACTGTGTTGCCTGCGTCAGTCTGTGTGCTCTGTCCCTCCTTGGTCTCCTGCGTCGGTCTGTGTGCTCTGTCCCTCCTTGGTCTCCTTTAGTCCCTGTCAGCACTGCCCTGCCCCTCTCACTGTGACTCTGGGCGATTTCTCACCGAGCCCAGTTGATGACTTGACTTAGGGGAGGGGAGCCAGCGCTGTCCGAGAGAGACCAGATTCCCTGCCTCTGTTCAGGTCAGCCTTCCTTGTCCAGAATAAACGATTTCTTGGCTATGGCTTTGCCTAACTTTGGTCCTTATTCAGGGTTGGGTAGGATTGGCAGTTGCATGTCTTTGAGAGAAGGGGGAGTCAGAATCAGAAGCACAGAGATGGAGTTTGCCGCTTTCTGACAAGATCACACCATACTCGAGATAATTGACTTGCAAAAAAGTTTTCTCCTGCCCACAATCAGGCTTTTTTGTTGTTGTTTGTGGGGTTTGAACTCTGGGCCTGGGCGCTGTCCCTCAGCTTTTCGGCTCAAGGCAAGCGCTCTACCCCTTGAGCCACAGCACCACTTCTGGCTTTTTCTGCTTATGTGGCATTGAGGAATCGAACCCATGTCCTCATGTGTGCAAGGCGAGCACTTTACCACTGAGCCACCTTCCGCCCCATAACCAGGCTTTTATGCCTGTGTGGAAGCAGTGTGTGATGGCAGGATTTGACCTTGGCTCAGCCAGCCGCATAGCCCATTGGAGAGCCACAACTGGACGTGGGCCAATCAGAAGGGAAATCCTTCTTTCCTTGCTAGAGAAATGGGTGAAGGCTGACTGCAGACAGGCTCAGCCAGGGGAAGTGCACGGGAAATCTTTCTCTGCTAATCACTAAATGGTCAGAGGGCACAGAGGTCCTCCTGTCAAAGACTGAGATCAGGCAAGCGCAGGCTCCCCGCACCCCTCCCAGCGCGTCCCTCCCCCACACGGCCACTCTTTCTCCCCTCTGCTCGCCACACCTGTCAACATCAAGAGGAGGTGGGTCGGGGCCCAGAGCCTCACACAGGCCCAGACTCTGCCTTCCGTTCCTCCACTCCTCCTGGTACTTCCTGGACACACTAAAGGAAGCGCAGCTTGCACTGAATCCGCTCAGGCGCTGCCTTGGGAGGGTGGAAGCTACAGGGAAACTGATGATCAAACCCGCCACGTGAGGGCTGGAGAAAGGAGACCTCGTGGTGGTTCAGGCAGAAGGGAGTTTACTAGGAGAAACCATATCTCCACCTGCACCAGATGGAGGTGTGCAGAGGGCGGACTTGTGATGGAGAGAGATTACATAGGGGAGAGAGGAGGAGGGGACCTCAAAGCCTGGGACCTCCCACTGCCCCAGGTGAGCCAGTTACGGGGTTACAGCTGCTGGGCAGGGCTTCTAGTGCAGGCCCTCCAGTAAACAGGAGAACAAACGGAAGGGACCATTCTCCCTGCCCCCAACCCCCCAGCAGGCCTAATAGCTACCTACTGCCATCTTGATTTCATGAAGTCAGAAGAGAAGCCATCATTTTCTCTAATCCATGCCTACCCTATGCCAGGCACTATAGGAGGGTGACACACAAACTCTCAAAGCAGTGGAGAGCTTCCCCTATCCTCTGCCAACGAGGGCTCCTTTTCCTGCGGTTGGGGATGGTAGGACATGCACTCCCTGTGGTTTGTGGCTGCGAGGAAGGAAGCTCATTCCAGCCATGGTGTTTGGAGCTCGGGCCTTTAGGAGCTGCTGTGGTTTGGATGAGGTTGTCAGGGTGGAGCCTCACACAAAGAGTGAGAGACCAGACATGCGCATGCACTCCCCCAATCCCCCCTGGCAGCCTGGGCCTGCTCTGTTACCCCCCCAACCTGTGACCTCCGGAAATGGAGCCAAAGTCAACCTCTTTTCCTTAAAACTTGCCCAATGTGTTGTTCTCAGCAGCAGGAGGCGGATGAACACAAGGTGAGCCTCCCCACCCCCATCTTCTTGCAGACTTTGTGCTCCTCCCGGGCGGAGCCCAAAGCGCATCGGCAGGAGTGGCTGGTGGACAGCAGCCCCGGGGTGCGCTCAGCGCCTCGCCTTTGGGCTGGCTCTGGAAACAGAGCGCAGCAGACACCCTGCCTCACTGGACAGAGCCCACGCCTCCCGCCTTCGTCTCAGAAGGGATCCCCTGCAACTCTGCTCTGAACGGGCAGCAGCTCTGGGATTCTGGTGTTTGTGAAGGTTTCTTTTATTTTTCTTTTTAATCTTCCCTGAGAAAGCAGAAGGGAATGTCAGCGAAACGCTGAAGATGACAAGGATGAAGGCGCCCTCTTCCACAGACAGCTCCCGGCTCCCAGGACCTGATGATGAAGAACAGCGCACCAGAGACCAGGACGGGAGGGGGCTCGTCCTCCGCGTAGGTCCTCTTGAGACACACGAACACAATGCTTTCCCACTTGGGACTCACAGGGGCGTGCTGGTGCCTCGCCACATTTCCCAGAGTGCTTGGAAAAGACACAGGACTCAGCCGGAGCCAGTGGTTGGTGCCTATAACCTACTCAAGAGGCTGAGAGCTGAGGATCACACTTGGAAGCCAGCCTAGCTAGGAAAGTCTGTGAGATTTTGATCTCCAGTTAACCAACAAAAAGAGCTGTGGATCAAGTGGTAGGGCAAAATGACAACAAAAAAAACCCCTCAGGGCCAACACACACGCGCACGCACACACACACACACACACACACACACGCACGCACACAGCACTCACGTAACTTTTCCCATTTAGAGATTAAATCCTGAAATGCAGGGACGTTCAGGGATTTGAGGATGGTCAGGAATGTGTCTGGATGATAGTCGAAGGCATTCTAACTCCTCTGAGCTCATTGCTGTAACTCAGCTGAGTTCCTCTCTGTTGATTTATAAATACCTCCTGGGTACTATCTCCCACACACCCCACAGCCACTGACCAGGCAGGTCCTAGGAGGGTAAGTGAGAGCCGCACGAAGTAAACACCATAAACAGTGTCGGCTGTTATTCCTCGGCAGTGTCGGCTGTTTTTCCTCGCTGCTGTTGCCTACTGTGTTGTTGTAGCTCTTTTTGCTGTTGCTACAAAAATATTGTTTATGTTGATGCTGCTCTGGTTACTGCTGTTTTTCAATCGTTGGAGAATATGTCATTTCTGTCATCAAAGCCACGTAGTTAACCTGGCATATAAATGTGTAAGTAGAAAAAAATTAAGTTTAACATTTCTAACCTAATATGGTTGTTAATTTCTGTACACCACCAATTCAGCACAGTAAACTAAGATACATTTGCCAAAACTGAAATCACAGCTAAAGTTTCCATAGATTCAAATTATATGCATATACATATGTATGTATGTGTGAATAAAGTTAGTTTCCATAAGTCAGCTAAAGTTTCCATGAATTCAAATTATGTATGCATACATATATATACATGTATGTAGACATATTTTATAGACATTTGTATAAAAAGACCAAAAATATATGTTCTTCAATAACGGCTTTCCCAAGTTCTGAACAAAATTTCTCAGACATCCAGAAAACTCTATCCAAAAAGAAAAAGCAAAAAACAGAACCCTATCCAGAAGTTGATGGCTCACACTTGTAATTTCAGCTGCTCAGGAGGTTGAGATCTGAGGACCATGGTTCAGAGCCAGTCTCATGAGACAAATCTCCTATTAATCAGCAAAAGGCCAGAAGTGGAGGTATGGCTCAAATGGTAGATAGCCAGCCTTAAGCAAAAAAGCCAAGCCCCTGAGTTCAAGCCCTACCCCTGGCAGACACAAAAACGGAAGAGAAAGTAAGGAAAGGAAAAAGGAACAGCGAGCAGCAAGGATTGTTAGTGCGTCGCCTCTGAATTATGTGCACATTAGCTTCTCGGTCACCACCTGGAGAGGAAGTGTTCTAGAGTGACCTCATTGGAACGGCTCTGAATGTAAAGCAGCTGCTAGGGGGTGGGTGTCATGGGGGGGCACAGGTGGTTTCTGTCCACAGAGGTGTGGCACTGCTGCCACAGCTCATCACGCCAGCACCTCTGATGATGTTGGCGCTGCTGGAGGCACTGTGTGCACGTCTCTGAGCTATCTTTGCTATCATCATGGCTGCTGCTCTTTTGCTGCTTGTTCTTCCTGGGGGTTACAGCGACAGTATTGATGATGATGATGATGATGACACTGTCAGCTTCATTCACTGGCTTCCGGTTTGCAAGCCAAACATAAAGCCAGGCACAGTTAACTAGCTGCACAACAGAGAATGCAATGTCCACGGGGGTTTCTGCAGAGGTGAGTGTCCCCTGCCCAGCCCCTTCTGGGGCGGGGGACGGGAACACTGTGCTCGCTGCATGGGCCTCCGCCGTCCTTCAGAGCCTGAGCCACTCAGTGCTGCCTCCTCAGGGCACACGGGGTCTTCTTTCAGCACGGAGGAGGAGGCCATCCCCTGATCTCCTCATCACCAATTTAAGGACATGAGAGACCCAGGACCCACAAGGCCTGAGTATCTGGTTTGGTGGCCTCTGTGTCCAGGATCAATGTCTGAAGATCCTGCTGGTCACCTGCCAGAGATGATGGCTCATTGCCTATTCTCCTGAGAACACTCACCTCAGTTCTACTGCTCCCCCGCTGCCAGGGTGCTGGTCCCCAGCCTCGGCCCTGCTCCTCACTATTGGCAGCCTCTGCAGCCAGCGTCTCTAGAAAGCAAGGTTCCCTGTGCACCTGTCTTTCCTCCACACCGAAGCTCTTGGTGTTGCATTGGGGTAGATCCTGTAGGTTGGAACAACAACCCACAGGAGGGAAGGCTCATCTGGGCTCACGGCTTCAGAGGCGTC